AATGGATTGAGAGGATGCTCTGGCTGCCCTTATATAGAGTTCGGGGCCAGTGCATGTACAGAATAGGAGGTTCTCCCGACCAAAGGGTCATGAGCCTAAGGGAGGAGTCTAGGTAACTTGGCTTGCAAGCTACGCCGTCTTGTGGAGCACATCTGGGCGTGGTTGTCGTCATCGTCTTGTTCCCACGTCATGGTAAGGTGTGGCATGGTGCTACTGTGCTGGCCATGGTGGCACTGTAGGCACGGTGGTGGTTTGCCAGCTGTCCTATGCGACGTGGTGAAAGGTCGAGATGGCGGACTAGAGGGGGGGTGAATAGTCTTTTCTAAAATTAATCGCGTCGGCTAACCGATATAAATACGGAATTAAAACAATCGGTCTAGCCAAGACTACACCCCTCTATATATGTTCACTAGCACCTTGCAAAGATACTAATAAAGCAACAAAGGTGCCGGGCTAGCTAGAGCTCTCCTAAACAATTCTAGGAGCAAGGTCACACAAACCTATGCCACTAGTACTTTAAGTAACAAGGGAGCTCCTACACATGCTAGTAAGCAAAAGCACAAAGCTAACTAAGCTCACTAGCAATGCTCAATAACAAGGCAACCAATGCCTAATTAGAGAGCGCAAATACTTAGCTACACAAACTAAGCAATGTGACTAACAAGGTTACTAAAACCAAATTAGCCACGCAAGAGAGCTACTTCTATGCTGCACAAGCAAGAAGGTAATTAGCTAGCTACACAAGCTATCTAATTACAAGAGCAACTACACAAGCTTAAGATATATATATAAGTAATTGCAAGCTTGTGTAATGGGGATGCAAACCAACGGGAAGAACAAGGTTGACACGATGATTTTTCTCCCGAGGTTCACATGTTTGCCAACACGCTAGTCCCCGTTGTGTCAACCGCTCACTTGGTGGTTCGGCGGCTAATTAGCATCACCCGCTAAGCCCGCACGTCGGGCACCGCAAGAACCTACCCCTTGAGTGAGGGTAGCTCAATGACACGCTTTACTAGAGTTGCTCTTCGCGGCTCCCGCGGGGCGAGCACAATGCCCCTCACAAGCACTTCTCCGGAGCGCCGCACAAGCTTCTTGCGCGCTTCGACGGAGACCACCACCAAGCCGTCTAGGAGGTGGCAACCTCCAAGAGTAACAAGCACCACCGGCTCGCAACTCGATCACCTAGTGCCACTCGATGCAACCTCACGATGCAATCGCACTAGAATCGCTCACTCACACAATCGGATGATCGCTATCAAGTATGTGTGTGATGGAGGGCTCCCAAGCACTCATAAGCATGGACACTAAGTCCCTTGAGGTGCTCCACACCAGCCATGGCCGAGGGCCACTTCTATTTATAGCCCCAAGGGCTAAACTAGCCGTTACCCCTTCACTGGGCAACGGTCGGGCCGATCGGACGCTCTGGTCGTGATGACCGGACGCTGGACCTCAGCGTCCGGTCGCCCGCAGACGGCCACGTGTCCCGGTTCCAACGGTCACTTGACCTGACCGGACGCAGCAGCTTTCAACTGACCGGACGCTGAACCCCCAGCGTCCGGTCGTTTCCAGTAAGGTACCAACCTTGACCGGACGCGTCCGGTCACACTTGATCGGACGCAGCCAGCGTCCAGTCACACTCCAGCTTCTGCGTCATCGTACATCAGCCTGACCGGACGCAGCCTGCCAGCGTTCGGTGCATTCAGATCCAGCGTCCGGTCAGTTGACCGACACCAGCATCTTCGCGACTAACTCGTTTTCACTTCTAACTTCATCACCCTTGCTCCAATGTGCTAACCACAAGAACTTGCATCCGGCGCAATAGAAAATAGGCATTCTATTTTTCCAAAAGCGCCGAATGCAAAGTTAGCCACTCAACTTGCCACGCCACTCGATCCTAGCGACAATGCAAAGTTAGATCACACGAGTGGCACTAGATGACCGATATGCAAACAAGTTTGCCCCTCTTGATAGTACGGCCATCTATCCTAAACCCGGTCATAAACTTCTCTATACACCTATGACCGGTGAAATGAAATGCCCTAGGTTATACCTTTGCCTTGCGCATTCCATTCCATCTCCTCCAATGTCGATGCAACACATGCACCAACACTATCAACAATGATATGATCCACTTCATATCATCACGTGATCATATTGGTTCATCGATCTTGACTTCACTTGCCCTTCACCGTTGCCATCGTCCATCGGCGCCAAGTCTTGCTCAAGCTTCACCGCCACGCGGTCCATCACTCCAAAGCCTTCGACTTGCCCTTCACGCTTGCAACCGGTCCATCAAGCCAAGTCTTGTCTTGATCTTCTCCACCTTGATCACATGACTCAATGTCATGTCTCATGTGCGTTAAGCTCCTTCATCATCACATGTGTGAGCTTTGCAACATCTCTAAGCCATTTTCATCTTCATGGCATATGTTGCTCACACACATGTACCTATGGACTAATTACCTGTGTATCTCACATAAACACAATTAGTCCACCAAGGTTGTCACTCAATTACCAAAACCAAACAAGGATCTTTCACGTGGCCTCCGTCGTGGCCTTCGTCATTGCCTCTTGTTCTCATGTGGGCGTCGTACAGGAGTTGGTAGCCGCCCCTAGGCCGCTGGTTGCCTGGTTAGCTTATGGAGTTGGTGGCCACGATCCCAAGCTCCGAGGTTGTGGCTCTCACTGGCTTGGGTGGCCCCTAAGTCAAGGCCTCCGTCGTGGATCACATCCTATAGTGGGTAGAATCGTACATATATCTTGTTGGACCGTATTTGTATGGCGGGTCGCCGTACTGACCTTCACCGCTGTGCGGTGTTGTCTTGTCTATACTGCGTAGCACAGGGTTGGCGTCTGATCGGACCAAGGTGACCGCTGTCCCCTCGGTCCTTGCGGGGTCAATGTGGCGTGCTTATTCCTATCAGAGCAGGCACGCTTGGCTAGGCTTGACCTCTCCCCTTCCCTCTCCGGGGTCGGGACGGTGGTGAGGTCGTGAGTCTTTTGTGCGTCATGCGGCTAAGGCAGAAGGGAGGGGTCGTGGCTGACCCTAGCCTTGGCGTTCAGCCTGGTTCACTTGGCTCAGCTAGGCCTCGGTTGTTTGGCCCTTCGCTAGCTGATGTATCGTGAGCTGCTCGGCCTGCTAACTAATCGGTGTCTTGAGACACCCGGGGATCATAACCCCGACAATAGTATTTGTTTTTAGGTACTTACACAAACTAAGGCTGTCCTATTAAAAAATCCTAATACAAGGATTATCAGCAATATAATACCTAATTTCAGATGCTTGTAAGTATAGTTTCACAGAGTTAATTAATTTTGCCAAGACTAATCAATATAAACCAACTACCCATGGATCAACATATATAGCCACTGGGTTAACACCACCTAGATCCATAGTTCACATGCTTGAGAATTGGTTAACTGACATCGATCAAAACGAACACCAAGTTAATCTTTGTAGGGTTGGAGCCATTATTTGGACAATTTGGTGTACGCGTAATGATCTTATTTTAGAGGAAAAACGTGTCACATCCTTAATTTATGCAGGCTATCTTCGGGTGATGAACAAATTGGTTGTGTTTTACTTTGGGCATTGCTGCAGCGTGATGATATAATTGAGACCATCCGGTCCGCGAGCGAAGCTTTGGAGCTCGTTGCTTTGGATATTTTTGCCAAGAATGGATGGACAAACAATAATATAATTTGTTATAATTTGTTTTTAAATTTTCCCTACAATTTGGTGTGCTCTTATTTGTTCGATTGTAGTCAGCAGATGAGCTAAAAACTTAGTAAGAACCTGGCTGTGTGTGATCGCAGAGGCAGAAACTTTTCCTTTTTAAAAAAAATAAAAATAAAGATCAACATACATCGTCTGTCTTGCTCACTAATCAAATGTCGATTCTAGATAGCTAAAATGTACTTTGTGTGATTTAAGTGGTTTAGTGATGATATAGGTAGAAGAATTTAGTTCTTATTGTGGTTCATTTTACTGCACTGTTGTTTTAAAATAAATCAGTGGGTCTATTTTAAATTTTTGCAACATGGCTAGCCCTCGTGTGAGAATCTTTCTACAAAATTGTGTCATGTAGTTAGCTTCTATAATTATACACACTATTGAACTAACATGCGTAGAACAATATTCTTGATTTTTAGTTAGGATAAAGGTGATGGTAATAATTGTTTATTAGTTTGTGGCTAGAATAATAGTGATTTAAGTTAGTGATTGCATCTATGGATTAGAAAGAAAATCATGATTTCTTGTTATGGTTCTATGCATTATTAGACATAATATTCTTTCTATATGACATTAGAAGTGATGGTGTAAATGTTGTGAATAGGGCAAATAATGATGATATGAGTTTTAGACTCCTTCTATGCATTAGAAAAATCAGAATTTACGGTTGTGCATCTTTGTATTAGAAAAATATGATTTTGTAATAATAACAATAATTTTCAAATTTATTTATTCATTCATCATGAACAATATTTTATTGACACGTGTGGTCGCACTATGTGGATGTTCAGTGGACGGCGGTCGTTGGGTCGCATGTCGGCGATGTTATGGCCTTGCAATTGCAGCAACAGGTGGAGGTTCAAGGCGAGGTAGACCTCGGTGCCATGGTCATAACACTGGAGTGGTCGTGCAGGGACCAAGAAGACCAGGTCTTTGACCCGTGAGAAATGTGTATTTTGGCCGGGAGAAAGAATCCAATCATGCGAAGCTAGCATGCCCAGTCTGCGTTTGACCGTTTTCTCCGGTTCTGAAAACGCGCCGAAGCAAACTAGTATAATGGTAGTATTTCCTTTGATGAGTTAAACCCTGCTACTTTTCCACAGCGAAACCGAGTGAACCACGCGCTAATATATAATATACTCCTATACAGTCCTGGCAACACCTTCTGATCCTGTCCATCTCTCCGAGCCTTTCGGGAACCAGAGGAGAGCAGAGCAGGGCGCCAGGGCAAGAACGACCGAGTCCTCACGGGACTGGACCGACGATGGCGGCGGAGTGGTGGTGGCCGTCGCTGGCGGCGTGGCTGGGCACCGAGGCCGCGTGGTTCCTTGTCCTAAACGCGGTCTTCGGCGCAATCTCCGTGCTGTCCTCGCGGGCGCGTCCAACGGCGTCGCCACGCAGTGGCGGCGGGGTCACGCGCAGGGCCTCGTCGGTGTTGCTGCAGCGCCTCCGCTCCCTTTCGATCTTCTCCTACCCCTCCGCATGCTTCGACACCCCGACCTTGCTGCAGCCCGTTGACGCCCACACCGCCGCCCAAGCAACAGAGGAGCCGGTGACACAACCGAGGATGGCCATGCCGTCGCCGCGCGAGCTCGTGCCCACATCACAGCCAGCGCCGGCAGCAGAGGAGGAGGAGGAGGAGGACCCGAGCGCGATGAGCATGGAGGATGCCTATGCTCTGGTCCTGGCCTCACGGCGGCCGCCAGAGCCGGAGAGGCGGTCCGACGTGGATGCCAAGGCGGAGGAGATCAAGGAGAACCAGCGGCAGCAGCGGCTCAACTCCATCTTCAACTATACCCAGATGCTCAAGCAGCGGGCGCTCGGTGCTGGCCGCCGCCAGCCGGATGTCCGGCCACATCAGCTTTGACTCACGTGTTCTGTTGGTTCAAACCGATGTTGGTCAGCATTTTCATGCATGGAGGCGAAATCGTTTTTTATGTTTCTGTACATAGGTTGCTTGCATTCGTCAGTCTGCACTCTACAGGTGTACAGCTGTTAGTCTTTTCCTTGTTTGGTTTTGCTATGCACATTTGTGCCATTTTATCCTATTCCATTTCATTTGTTCTTTGATAGAGGCTCTGGCGGATACCGTGCATCTTAAATGTGAAACTAGTATTTGATTACAGGATTACAGACTATTTCCATCATCTCACTGTTTCCAATCTATTAAGCTATTCCTAGTGTATTGCATCATCTCACCCAATATATAAGCCCTATTTGGGAGGTTTGGGCTTATATCAAAAAACGGTGAAACTAGGAAGAACCATGTTTTTATGGCTTTGACTTCACTGTTTTTGCTTCAAAAGCCGTACACGTTTGGCACGACTGGAAGGATTGAGATGTCATGCAGAAGTGTAAATAGGGTCCTAAAAATATAAAACTTGTAGCGGGCAATAGGACTAGAATTTTTGTTCAAGCTCGAAAATTCTGAATCTCCGAGGACCGGAATTCTGGTCTGAGATCGGAAACTTTGGGCAAGGTGACTTGAAATCATAAATCAACAAAGATTACATCCATTTTTAAACTATTATACTTGTTACCATGTGTTGCTAGACAACCCAAAACTACAAACCAAGACCAAGAATAAGTAGATCAGGGTGAATCATCCAAAAGTAAATCTTGAACAGTAAGAAAACACGTGCAGAAGGAGTAGAATTGGTGGAATTGGTTGATTGATTGTATTATTGAGCATCGGGCTGATTATACAGGAATACATTGCTTGGGGGGCAAGAAACCTCCTTCACAAATAAGGCAATCCAAGATTATATGATCCTACTAATCTACCATATTTGGAGATATTCCAATATACTTTAACATCCCCCGCCCGCAGTAGTGCTGCTTGATGGCTAAGTCTCAGGTGACGTGAAGCTGCCTTGCAGTTGGTTGTTTGCTTGTCTATCTAGACATCCAGCCACGCACGCACGCACGAATCTACACACCACACCCAGTCAGCACAGATGAGAGACGTGAGGGCTAGCAATAAGGACGCAATTTACTACAGAGTTGCGTGGTGGACCAGTGTTGCAAGGCGTGGTGAACATGCATGGGACATCAGACACCATTGCAGACTCGGAACTCGGAAGGTTCATGGGAGCTACTTACATTGGTTGCCTCACGCTACGCTGCGCAATATATACTCCCCCACCCGTGCGTCCGCCACGGCCACACCACCATTGCCCGTCCAAAGAACCAGAGCAGGTCCTTATCCCATCCATCAACTAACTATTCAACTCGGAGCGCAAAGTTTTTTGGGGGTAATTCGAAGCAGAGCCAGCACCGCCCAGGAGAAGCGCGCGCGCGCGAAGTAGAGAGGGTGCGCGATCCAGTTGGTGCCCGGCCGGCCGGCCAGCCGCAGATGATGGCGCCGGAGTGGTGGTGGGCGCCGCTGCCGGCGTGGCTGAGCTCCAGTGCGTTATGGTTCCTCCTCGTAAACGCGGTCGTCGCCGCCGTCGCCGTCCTCTCCAGGGCACGCCCGCCGCTGCCGTCTCCACGACGCGGGTCCGGGGTCACGCCGAGGGCCTCCTCCGCGGTGCTGCAGCGCCTCCGCTCCTTCTCCATCTTCTCCTTCCCTCCGCCTGCTTCAACACCACGCCGTTCCCGCACCCTGACGCCGCCACCGCAGCAACCGCCAGCGCCGAAACAGAGGAGCCGGCGACGACACCGACGACGACCAAGCCGTCCCCCGCGCGCGCTCCCACTCCCGCCATCGCCGCTGTCGTCGTCGGGGCGCGCGCCGGGGCAGAAGACGACGAGCCCAGCGGGATGAGCATGGACGAGGCCTACGCGCTGGCGCTGGAGGCGCGCCGGCGGCCGGACCGGGAGAGGGAGGAGGAGGCCAGGAGGTCCGAGGTGGACGCCATGGACGACAAGTTCATCCGCGGCTTCAAGGAGGACCTGCGCCAGCAGCGCCTCAACTCCATCTTCAACTACACCCAGATGCTCAAGCAGCGCGCGCTCGGCGGCGCCGCAGCCCGCCGGCAGCCAGATCAGCTTTGAGTCACGTGATCGATTTGTTCATTTAAGAGATTGGTCACCGTTTTAGGGAGACCAAATCAGTTTTGAGTTGATATTCTAGCGTTCTGTACAAAGGGCTGCTTTCAACACATTGTATTGTTTGAACATATTGTTTGCATGTTTTTTCTTCTTTTTTCGCATTTGCACACATGCTAATATTTTATTGTACCCACATTTCGTTTGTTCTTTGAAAGAGGTGAGTGATAAATAAGAATACATGTGCCAATCCAATATTTTAGTTTATCTATGTGCCATGAGTTTCGTCAATACTTACATGATCGTCACAACACGAAATGCATGGTGACTTGGTACAAATAATACCAACTTTTGCAAAACAGTATCAAATAATACAAGTGCTCTGCAATGGAAAATGCTTATATTCATTATCTCCGTGTCGAAAAGGAAAAAGAATCGTGATTTTCTTTAAAGAAAGAATTGTTCTTTTCTTGTATGGGAGGTTTAAGTTGTGACCTTTTTTCATCACCCATATTGATGTTCAGAACATCCAACATTGGATGAAGAGAAATTGGCCAGCATGACGCCTAGTTTGGAAGCATATGCCGCAAAAAGGTTACAAGCCACCTATTAGATGCTCAGCTTTGTGTACACATTGTTATAAAATTTATAAAAAAATCGATGCCTCCTTAGGGCCTGTTTGGCAGGGCTCCTCTCCCACTCCGGCTTTGGCTCCTCCAGAGGAGCCCTGCCAAACGTTTTTCTGAAGGAGCCGTTTTTCAGTAAAAAACAGAGGAGCCGGAGCTATTTTGGAGGAGCCACAATTTGTGGCTCCTCCAAAACGGCTCTGGCTCCTTCGGAGGAGCCTCTCAGAAGGAGCCCTGCCAAACAGGTCCTTAATGTCTTAAAACCACCACACGCGAACATGTCTATGCTGATAGAATACAACACTCACAATGATTTTGCAGGGTTCTTATGAAACTCAATTGTAATTGATCTACCACTCCTCCCAATTCAAAACATGTCATTTAGATCATTCACAAATTTATTCAAAGTCAGACTTTGACAAACAAATTTGCGATAAATATGGCATTTCAAATAAAGGTAATTAAATATTTTAAAGAACTTTTTATGATGTAACATATGGCATTTCAAATAAAGGTAATTAAATATTTTAAAGAACTTTTTATGATGTAACATAAGTCTTATATTATCAATCTCTATAGTTTTTTACCACACACATGATCTGAGGAGCTATCTCGGGATTGTAATCCATGTTGAAGCTTGGATAAAAAAAAAGGGAGGGTGCTAAGTGATGTGCTAGGCAAGCTTATGTGCTGACGGACTATGCTAGCTGGGTAAGTATTCAATCTTCTTTGGTGGTGTGCTAGGTAGGTGCTGCTCGGAACTTCATGGGCTGGATCAGTTCTACGACACTCTTAGCTCCACCCTTGTTAGGGAAGAATAAAGTCCATTCTAACTCCTAAGATATTAATGTAGTCTGATTTACCATCTCGTACTAAAAAAACTAGATATTTTACCTCCGAAACTCTTAAAACCATGTAAATTATCTCTTTGTCGTGGTATGAAGTGGTTTTGAAGACGTTTTGCCTTTTTTAGTAAAAATACATTTAAGTAAATACTTGGTTTTTAAACCATAGAAATTTCTTCTAAGTTTTTAAAATTCTGAGAAAAAAATCCTAGTAATAGATTGGGATATGACCAAATCCAAAAAAAATATTAGAGCTCGTGAAAATATCTCTAGATACTTACAAAACATATTTAGCTATAGAAAAATGGAAAACATCGTAAAAATATAGAAAAGTCCCAAAACATTATAGTTCATGTCTAAGAACATTTTGAGAACTTTTTGCAACAAAAATATAAGACACAACCAACATGAATGCATAGCATGAATACATCCAACATTAATGTATGTTGCATTAATGCTAGTTACATATCATATTATTGTTGTCCAAAGTTTTTAAATCATGTTTATCAACTAGAATGTTTGGGAAATTTTTCTAGTTTTTTAGATACTTTCCCATTTTCCTAGAGCTAAATCTAGTTTTCAAGCTTCTAGAGAGATTTTCACGAGCTTTAAATATTATATTTGAATTTTTTTTATCCCAAACTACCTCTAGATTCTTTTTTCCAGAATTTATATAAGATTAGAGACATTTTTTGTGGTTACAAAAACCTTATCAAATATTTATCAAACTTTTTTTAAATTGCAAAAGACAAAATTGTCTTCCAAATCACTTCAAACCAAAGCATGAAGGTAATTTTAGATTTTCTTTTGAAATGAAAATCATAGTTCCCGGACACCAATGAAGCTACAAAGTTTGATGCATGGTCTTGCCACATAAGAGGACCATAGTACAATTCAGGCTTATAGCCGCCAGAGTATCTACTACAACACTACACTCTCTGGATACCTGAGAAATGGTACACTCAGAGAACTCTAAATACATAAAAAGTTTTAATCTCACTCAACAGATTTGTATGCACAGATCTTTCAAAGCAATTATCATTTAAGGCCCTAATTTTAGAGTCCAAGAAGATAAATCAGCTACGACGGTAGTGCAGTGACAGATTGGTTTTTCCGCCTGTGAATTGTGATAGCAGTACTGAATGAAAGCCCAGTGTAAACGGCCCACATTAACTTCATCACAAGGCCAAAGCCCAAAACGTTGGCTCCATTTCGAACTTACGTCGAACACCTTGTAGGTTTGGAAGCAGCAGCCTGTCCTCTCGTGTCGAACACCTGAAACCCACCGCCCGCCGATCACCAAGCGGCGGCGGCACAGCAAGATGCTATCCCGCGCGCGGCGCCTCCACCCCGCCGTCCGCCGATTCCTCCTCCCAAACACGCCTGCACCCTCCCGTCCTCCTCCGCTCCCACCTCAACACAGCGCTTCCGCCCAAACCTCTAAAACCTTATCGATCCTCTTCCGCCGCCACCTCTGCTCCTCACCACCCGCAACGCCGCCGTCCACATCACCGCCTCCAGCGATGGTATCTTCTGACCTCCCGGCCCTCCGCGTCAATGAAGTCTGCCCGGGATGCGGAATCGCCATGCAATCCTCCGACCCCGCGCTCCCGGGGTTCTTCTTGCTCCCCTCCGCAAAATCCCCCGACTACCGCGCGCGCCTCGCGCGCGTCACCGTCGACGACACCCGAATATCCGCCTCCCTCAAGTCCGGTCACCTTCGGGAGGACTTAGAGCCGTCGGGGGGCTACAAGCCGGCCGCGGCGGCGGCTGAGACGGCGGAGGCCAAGGGAGAGGGCAAGGTGTTGGTGTGCGCGCGATGCCACTCGCTGCGCCACTACGGCCGCGTCAAGCATCCGGACGCCGAGCGGCTCCTCCCGGACTTCGACTTCGTCGCCGCCGTCGGCCCGCGCCTCGCGTCGCCTTCCGGGGCCAGGTCACTAGTGCTGCTCCTGGCGGACGCCTCTGACTTCGATGGCTCGTTCCCGCGCGCCGTCGCGCGGTTGGTGGCCGCAGCCGGCGAGGCCCACCGCGCGGACTGGAAGCACGGGGCCCCGGCCAACCTCCCACGCGCGCTGCTCGTGGTCACTAAGCTCGACCTGCTCCCCACGCCGTCGCTGTCCCCGACGATGTGCACGCGTGGGCGCACTCCCCGCGCTCGCGCCGGTGCGGGTTCCGACCTTCGGCTCGCTGGGGTGCACTTGGTTAGCGCCGCGCGCGGATGGGGCGTCCGCGACCTGCTCGAACATGTGCGCGAGCTCTCCGGGACGCGCGGCAATGTCTGGGCCGTGGGTGCGCGGAATGTTGGCAAGTCAACGCTGCTCAATGCGATTGCCAGATGCTCTGGCATAGTCGGGCGACCCACCTTGACGGAGGCTCCAGTTCCGGGAACGACCCTTGACGTGATTAAGCTAGACGGCGTTCTTGGCGCTCAAGCGAAGCTGTTTGATACTCCTGGACTTCTCCATGGGCATCAGTTGACATCTAGACTGACGAGCGAGGAGATGAAGTTGGTTCAAGTGAGAAAGGAGATGAGTCCCAGAACTTACAGAATAAAGGTCACATTTATTTTCCTTATCTTGATATATTCCCTAATGATACGTGTCAATATGTCCAATGGTCTGGCTGCTTCCTATCTTCTCAAGTTCCACAAAAGTTTCTTGTCAAAACTACAGCACGCTGCAACTTGGTTTAATCTGTAAAATGTCTACTCAAATATAGTACTGCAGTTTTTGTGAAACTGAACTTAGCAGTTCATTGGTTATGAATTGAACTAGATAATGGACAAATAATTAAGTTTATGAATTTTCAGTTATTAGGTTGTGATGTTCTTCACTGACATTGTTGATTTGATCTTAAATTGTTTGGAGCATCATTAGATAAAGCATTTGTGACACATGATTATTCACTACTAAACAGCAGTTGTCAAATGATCATTACTTGAAGTGTACTTTGTTCTTGCATCGTTTCCAGACAGGACAGTCTATACATATTGGTGGACTGGTGCGCCTGGATGTTGAAGAGTTAACTGTAGGATCGATTTATGTTACAGTTTGGGCATCACCACTTGTCCCACTTCACATGGGAAAGACAGAAAACTCAGCAGCATTGATGAAAGAACACTTTGGCTTACAACTACAGGTAGCACAGCATTACATGCCTTTCCCCAGATATTGTTCTAGTACTTTGCATAAACTACATTTCCACTGTTGTTCTGGTAATTTTGCAGCCTCCCATAGGCCAGGAGCGGGTAAAGGAGCTTGGTAAATGGGTGAGGAAACAGTTCAAAGTTTCTGGGAACAGTTGGGATACAAACTCTAAGGATATAGCCATTGCTGGTCTTGGCTGGTTTGGAATTGGGCTGAAAGGAGAGGCGGTGTTAGGATTATGGGCCTATGATGGTGTTGATGTCATCTCCAGGAGCTCCTTAGTCCATGAGAGAGCTTCAATTTTTGAGGAAGCTGGTTTCACGGTTTCACAGATTGTTTCTAAGGCAGATAGCATGACCAATAAGCTGAAGAGCACCAAGAAGCCAAACAAGGAGAGAACGAGAAGTGCTTCTCCCGTCACAGAGCCGGAAGCTTCAGAACCTGCTTCCAACATAGATGCTTGAGTGTTTTCATTCAGTCCTGTGACTGGAGTATCATTTTGGTGATCATGTTTGAGCCCACAATGTTCCGCATTGGCCCTAGAAACCGTTAATTGAATTCAGAAGCAGAGGCTGTGTACAATGTATTTTTTTTTTTTGAAACCTAGTGTACAACGTATTGTTCTCCAGAGTCCAGAAGGAACCTGCCCTCATCGGCTCATCGAAGGATTTTCTATGTTTTATGAAGCTCTAAGTTTTGAACTGTTGCTAATTTGCTGAGCTGGAGAGCCAGTTAGGAAATTGTTGGGGATGGCACATAGTTTCAGCTCCCCTTTGTGTGTTTTTCGACACTACTTTCTCCAATGAGGACTGAAAGGCCCGCCAATGGTGCCAGGAGGCAATCCCTTCGGTACTCACACCTTGATTGTCAGCATTGTTGTCGGAGCCCCATGGCTATCGGCAGGACGCACGAAAGGCTTTCGGCCATTATCCTGCCCCTGCCGATAGCTTTTCGGCTATCCTAACCACGACCCGTCAGAAGGGTGTGAACCCCCTTTCGCTCATCATGACATTTTTGGTACAACTCTGTTTATTCGAAATGCAGATTAGTTCTTTCGTCGGTGTTGCGAAACGGCAGGAACGATCGAAAGGACGGGAGCAGTGCATTTCCCTCGGTGTGGACCCCCTCATTGCGTCAGCGACAGAGTCCGTGAAGAGGGGACTAGACGAGGGAGGTGTTTTCTAAGGGAGGTCAAAGACGGAATGAACCAAGAAGGGCTCAAAATATGGAATATGCCTTAGGATCTAGGCAGTTGGAAGGGCATTACCGGCATTATAATTGATACGGAAGTGTATAAATAGAGCTTCAGGAGAGCAATTTAAGGGGGGAGGAATGGAACCCTAATTCCTTCAGTTGCTTATGAGTGCCTATTCGTCTATTCTTGTTCCTTTCGTCCGTTCATTATTGTGCTTTCGGTAACTCGAGCAGTAGTTCAGTGTTTGAAGGCTAAGGCCTAGAACAACATTGGCGCTCACCGTGATTGTTGCTCGAGCTTACTATGGCCCCAAAGAAAGGAGTGAGAACAGGTACCGAGAACGCGGAAACGTCCAAGGCAGCGGCGGCCGTTGTCGTGATGAAATCTACAGCGACGGAAGACCGAATGCACCACAGGCGCATGGCGACATGACAGAACAACCAGGTGGACGAGAAGAGACGCTAGAAGGACATGTTCAAGAAGTGGTTGGCAACCAAGACGGGAATGATGATGAAGACGGCGAAATCACCGATCAAGCAAGAGACTTGAGAAGGTTGGATCTTTATCAGTAGGAAATCATAAGGCTGCAACAGGAAAAGGAGCAACTGCCGCAGCAGGCTGCAACATGAAATAGAGCTGAGCAGACTCAGAGGGCCATCAGGCAAGCCGAAAACCAAAGAGAAAGATTGATCAGGGAAATACAACAGCTGCAAAGGGCAGGTGGCGAAGGTATCAATCAGGCTGGCGAAAACATAGTTTTGCCGGATATCAGCATACCGGACGAAAACATAGAAGCATATGATCAACTTCGCCGTTGTCTAAAGAGCTGCAGCAACACCCATGGTCAATGAACTACAAACCTCGCATCCCACCTTTCGATGGAAAGACCAATCCAAGAAAATTTATAGCATGCTATGAAACTGCGGTGTTTTCGGCCGGAGGAGACACCATGACCCTGGCGAAATCACTTATCTTTGGCCGTCGAGAATATCGCCCATGACTAGTATACGTCTCTGAAGCCCCTTTCGATTCGCTCATGGCAGCAGATCAACGCGGAACTTCTGGCAACTTTCCAAGGATACCAGCTAGGGACGAAAACCACAAGGGACCTCATGAATTGCGTACAGCGAGATGACGAAGCCTTATCAGACTATCTGAAAAGATCTGTTCAGCTCAAGGCACAGGTATTGAATGTGCCGGAAGCAGCGGTTATAGCAGCAGCCATCGAAGGTTTAGCTACAGTACAGTGTGCAGCGCGTTTTGCCCGGGAGCCACCAACCACTGTAAGGGCCCGTTCGGCAGCAGCCGGACCAGGTTTGGTTCCTGGCCAGAATACACCAGTTTTCAATACGGATGGCTCCGTTCCACCCGAAACGACCGCCGGAACGGCCCGTTCCTAAAGAAACGAACGGAGCCTAAAGGAACTTTTAGAAATCATGAACCGATATGCTAGATCAGATGATGATTACAGGACATGGAAGGCATCGCGTAATCACCAAAGACAGGCAGTCAAAGTCCAAAGGCCGACCCAGACACCGGCGCAGCAAAACGAAAGACCATTCCGCTCGATAAACAACCTACAAGAAGATTCAGGGCAATCTGCACCTGAGCAAGCTCAATCCAGCCCGTCACAATCTCAACCATACCGTAGTTTCGACCAATCGTCACGTGGCGGCAGAGGCAGTCGTGGCTCCCACAGGGGGCGAGATGGTAGAGGAAGAGGAAGAGGAAGAGGATAGAGACCTTCGTATTGTTTCTTATGCGGCGAAAACGCCGAGCATATCACCAAAGAGTGCAAATACAGCAAGATGGCGAGAGAGCTCAAGGAAAAAGACGATGCATCCAGAAGCTGTGAGGCACCAAAGCACATCTTCCACAACGCGCCTCGCGCCGAAAACATGCATAACCAGTTCTACAATCAACCCTTCCTTTCGACAAGAAGCAGCGCAATGCATCAGCCTAGCTTTTCGCAGGGATACATCCAGACACCTTTCGCCTGGAAGCACCCAGCATACCCTCCCTACCAGCAATTCACTCAATACCCAACTCAATCAGCCGTAGTGTCTTCGCCGGTTCAGCCAGATCAGCAACAGTCCAGCCAGCCGCACCAGACTAAGCAAGAGAACGCGCAAGACCAGCATACAGTGAACAACATCCTTCCGTCGCATGGTCACATATTTGCCATAACACAGGCGGATCCAATCAAGAACATGACAACAAAAGAGCAAGAAGGGACTACGAGAGAAGCGTCCATATGGTATCCCCAAGATTGCCTTCGAACAGGCCAGCTTGGTCCCTTGTCCCCATCACCTTTGACGAAAACGACTTCCAAGTGCAAGATTACCCTCATTGTGATGCTTTCGTTGCAATGGCGAACGTAGCCGGATACACACTGCACAACATTCTCATTGACACAGGGAGTTCAACAGACATTCTTTTCATCAAGGCTTTCAAATCTATGGGCTTAGATAAACGTACCCTCGAGCCAGCATGAAACTCATTATACGGATTCGGTGGGAAGAAAATAGACGCCATCGGCAAAAAGCCATCCCAGTATCATTGGAGGAGGGCGAAAGGGTTCGTACCGAGACGATAATGTTCGACATAGTCAATATGGACTACTCGTATACCACCATTTTCAGCAGAGGTTTCACCAACAAATTCGAAGTGGTGATCAAGCAAAGTTACTTGTGCATGAAAATGCCATCCCCTTTCGAGATAATCATAGTGCATGGAGACCAAATTGCATCAAGGCGAATAGAAGGGAAGCCAATACCCGGTTATAGCCTCATCAACGAAGTGGCCAAGAAGCCAGAAGAAGCCGAGCGAAATAACAAAAACATTATCAGTCCAAGGGCAGAAGCCGGAGAAGACACATAGAAAACTCCTCTAACCGAAGCAGTACAGGATAAGTGCGTCCATATCAGCATAGACTTATCCATCAAAGAGAATCAGGACCTCATTTCATTTTCCTGCACAAAAACAGTGACATTCTCGCATGGTCCGCAAAGGATTTGCAAGGAGTCAGTCGAGACCTGGCCTAGCACAGCCTGAATGTGTCGAAGGGGTCCAAGCTAAGAAAGCAAAAGTTGAGAAAGATGTCAACTGAAAGAACCGAAGCAGCGAAAGCAGAGGTATAGAGACTATTAGATAGAGTCATCAGGACAGTTCACTACCCGGAATGCTTAGGAAATGTAGTCATGGTCAAAAAAAAAAAAAAGAATGGAAAATGACGAATGTGTGTCGATTTCACAGACCTAAACAATGAAAGATCCATACCCTTTGCCGAGAATTGACAAGTTGGTGGACATCGCAGCAGGATGCGAAATGATGAGTTTGTTGGATTATTTCTCAGGATATCACCAAATCTGGCTAAACCCCAAGGATGAAGAGAAAATAAGTTTCATCACCCCAGGTGACACGTATTGTTACTGTCGTATGCCGGAAGGGTTGCGAAATGCAGGCCCTACTTTCTCCAGGATGACAAATGGAGTATTTCACGAACAAAAGGGAAATAACCTACTGGCTTACGTTGACGATATAGTAGTAAAGAGTGATAAGAAAGAAACACACATACAGGACCTACAAGAAACTTTCACAAATCTCCGTAAGAGCGGTCTCAAGCTAAATCCTGACAAGTGTATTTTTAACATTCAGAAGGAAAAGCTGCTCGGATGTTTGGTTTTGGCGAGGGGCATTGAGGCAAACCCAGGCAAGATAGCGGCGATAACAAACATGCAACCACCGATAAATAGAAAACAAGTGCAAAAGTTGTCAGGCAGATTGGCAGCTTTGAATAGATTTATCACCAGATTTGCGGAAGGCTTAGCTTACCTTTCTTCAGAGTACTCCGAAACTCCGACCTATTCGACTGGGTCCCAAACAACAGCAAGCTTTCGACGACCTAAAAAAGTACTTAACAAACCTCACAACTTTGTCCAAGCCATCGCCTGGGGCAGTCTTGCTGCTCTATCTGGCAACTTCACCTAGAATAGTCGATGCTGTTCTGGTAGAAGAGAAGGAGCAAGAAAACAAGGTGAAGCAGTTTCCCATCAATTTTGTCTATAAAGCCTTGTCAGGGGCAAAGTTGAACTATTCGAAACTCAAAAAGATAGCATACACAGTAGTGATGGCTTCCGAAAAGCTAAAGCACTATTTCCAAGCCCATCGCATCAGAGTCATATCAGCTCAGCCATTGGATGCTCTTTTTCGCAACAAGCGATACCAGCCTGTAGCTCTACGCCGTACCCAGACGTGGGGGATTACAAG